CTCCTCTATTATTAAACAGAGCAAGCGACATGTATTTTCGTAACGTGCTGCTTTTATGCACTATGTTTAAATGATTAAAATATTTTCTAAATTCTGATTGGTGCATTAACTTCTAAGTGTGCCCATGTCGATAGGACACGCTACCGACACATGTGTCGACACAAGTTGTATGACACAAAAAGATCAGTCACGTTTCGACACTGTGTTCTAGTGTGTCGACACACGTACGCAATGGGTGTCATGGTGTGTTGACACATGTACGCAATGAGTGTCACACTGTGTGACACATTTTTTTACTGTTATACTATTGGTTCAATTTTTAGTCACTGGAAAGCCGACCAATGAAATTGATCATCAAAGAATTTTATTTCCGTTGCATCCTGGCGTCATCGATGACGCCATTTACTTGTAATTTATTTTCAATAATGATTATATTAATACATGAAAAAAAATAAACGCGTACAATTCTATAAAAATATTTTTCTATTGTGTTCACGTCTGTACTGTACATAAAAAGATGTTCACGATAAGAAAAATGAAATTTCACAGTAAAAAGAAGTAAAACAAGATACAATGCATATGAGAGATCAACAAGAAACAAAGGCAAGAATTATTTCATATAAATAAGCGAAAAAAATCAGATGAGAAAATACTTTTACCGGTTTCCTACTAACTTCGTGTATCACATCAATCATTGTCAAACGTTACAATGTCGGAATTAATATCGAAGTTATTGTTGATGATGTTGCTTGCACTAGTATTGATATCGTATTTGTTACTATTTTCAGCTGCTGTTAATGTCGCTATGAATCTAAAATAGAACAATTAAATTTAAAATAACAATGTATTGTAGAGAGCAATAAAAGAAATAAATAGCTTTCCTATCTCTATTTTTCTTAGTACATTCTTGTCCATTAATGAATTGGACAGAAGTTACTCGTTGTTCTACAGTTATTCGATCATTTGTTCTGAAAATTATATAAAATCTGTTATCTATCATGTGTGAAAGTCAGATATTTAGCTTATTACGCGTACAAAATTAAAAAAAATTTCATTGAAAGAATGTATCTCTAATACTACTTTATGGTAAAACAAAAAGTACCTATTATCTTCTCTAATCGTATATCAGCATCCTATGGCGGTAGTTGTGGTGTGTTGTTTTTCTATTTCATCTAAAGTATACATCTTGCATACCAAATAACACAAATAAGTTGTAGACAAAGACGGCCGAGGTTTTGCAAGTAAATTTTGAACATTCTAAAACTTTCATAAAAATTAGACTATTAAAGAAAAATGAAATCAAAATAATAAACTCATACTTACAACTGAATTAAGTTTTGCTTTAGGTTGTGTGGTTTTAATGTCGTAAAATGATTAAAAAAAATTATTCTAAGTAAATATGTTTCAACGATTCTCTAGAGTTGATCAATATATTAAGATAAAACATTATACCTGTCGATTCTTGACAGAATCAAAAGCAAATTTCAGTAGTTTGTTGATTTTTGTTTGTAAAGTGGGCACCTAGTTTTCTAAAATGCTGCATCGTCCAAGAGTTTGTCAAGTGCATTTTAATCCATGGTGATAAGCTGATGAGGTTGAGCTTTTTCATCTTCACAATTATCAGCTTGTGCATCAACATCGGGATAGGACATGGCACCTACAAGACATAGAAAAACATGATATGTGACGAAATGAAATTTAAAAAATCACCAGTTTCTGAATGCATAAATAATATCTATAAAACAAAAGAAAAGTAAAATGCAGAATTTGCACACAATTGCTTTCTTCGTAGAACACAAATAGATTTCAAACAAATTCTAAATAAATAAATTTAATAAAAGAAAAAAAAATGACAATAAGAATTAAAAAAAATGACTTAAACTTTATCAATAACTTGATTAATATAACTGCACGTATTAAAATACATTGTACAACACCTAAAACATAAAAATTTATAAAAATCTAAATAAATTGGGTAATTTCAAGTCTTAACGGAAAATTTTGAGTTTTCTATAGTAGACGAAAATGTCAACGGTTTTTTTCTTTCCTTTCTTTCTTCCATAGTTTACCGGTATCTATCATCCATAGAAAAACGACACGCTGCCGGCACATGTGTCGACACATTCCGTACAGAAACTTCGCTGTGTTATCATGTGTCAACACACGTACGGTCACTGTGTCATTGTGTCGACACATGTGTCGGTACCGTGTCGTATAGACATGGGTTGATAATACTGTATTAATTTTGTAGTGTGGGCAGGGCCTTAGTGGTTAATTCTGTTTTATCTTTTTGGTCTGTTTGGGGCCTAAAACAAAATAACCGCGGCAGTGAAAGAACAGGAAGCGAATAGTATTCAAACATTATAGGTGGTGCTAGCTGACTTCATCGAGTACATGTCATAAAAACAACTTGCCTATAGTTATACTGTAACATAGCCCATTTTTGGCATATTATTATTGAATTTTTGTAAAAAAGAAAATTTTTTTTTATTTATCGTTTTTCTCAAAATATGATTTTTAATCACAAAAAATGAAACTTCTCTTGCATGGTTCAAGGTATAATCGAATTTTCTTTTTGTTTTACAGCTGTAAGTACGAGTAAATTTTTGTCCGACCAGATTTTTTATATTCTATTCCTGGGCTGAAAAAAGTCAAATTTTATGTCGTGGGATGGACTTCTTTTGACTCAAGGTTCGTTGAAATGCTCTTAAAAAATGAATGGAAGAAGATTTCAAGATTCTGTTCGGACAAAAGTTGTACACAGCCGTTAGCTTCAATTTAAAACTAATGCGA